ACTGCACTGAAACCTGGTGTGCACACTGCACTGAAACCTGGTGTGCACATTGCACTGAAACCTGGTGTGCACATTGCACTGAAAGAGAAACCTGGTGTGCACACTGCATTGAAACCTGGTGTGCACACTGCACTGAAACCTGGTGTGCACACTGTACTGAAACCTAGTGTGCACACTGTACTGAAACCTGGTATGCACAATGCACTGAAACCTGGTGTGCACAATGCACTGAAACCTGGTGTGCACAATGCACTGAAAGCTGGTGTGCACAATGCACTGAAACCTGGTATGCACAATGCACTGAAACCTGGTATGCACACTGCACTGAAACCTGGTGTGCACGCTGTACTGAAACCTGGTGTGCACGCTGTACTGAAACCTGGTGTGCACGCTGTACTGAAACCTGGTATGCACAATGCACTGAAACCTGGTATGCACACTGCACTGAAATCTGGTGTGCACACTGCACTGAAATCTGGTGTGCACACTGCACTGAAATCTGGTGTGCACACTGCACTGACACCTGGTGTGCACACTGCACTGAAAGAGAAACCTGGTGTGCACACTGCACTGAAACCTGGTGTGCACACTGCACTGAAACCTGGTGTGCACAATGCACTGAAACCTAGTGTGCACACTGTACTGCAACCTGGTATGCACACTGCACTAGAACCTGGTATGCACAATGCACTAAAACCTGGTGTGCACAATGCACTGAAATCTGATGTGCACACTGCACTGAAACCTGGTGTGCACTCTGTACTGAAACCTGGTATGCACTCTGTACTGAAACCTGGTGTGCACACTGCACTGAAACCTGGTGTGCACACTGCACTGAAACCTGGTGTGCACACTGCACTGAAACCTGGTGTGCACACTGCACTGACACCTGGTGTGCACACTGCACTGACACCTGGTGTGCACACTGCACTGAAACCTGGTGTGCACACTGCACTGACACCTGGTGTGCACACTGCACTGACACCTGGTGTGCACACTGCACTGACACCTGGTGTGCACACTGCACTGCAATCTGGTGTGCACACTGCACTGACACCTGGTGTGCACACTGCACTGACACCTGGTGTGCACACTGCACTGACACCTGGTGTGCACACTGCACTGACACCTGGTGTGCACACTGCACTGACACCTGGTGTGCACACTGCACTGACACCTGGTGTGCACACTGCACTGACACCTGGTGTGCACACTGCACTGACACCTGGTGTGCACACTGCACTGACACCTGGTGTGCACACTGCACTGACACCTGGTGTGCACATGAT